CTCTCTCTCTCTGCCTTATTATATAACCGAGGCTGATCTGCCACTGGCTGTGTAACCCAGGCTGGCCCGGAACTTGAAGCGATCCTCCTGCCTCAGCTTCCCCAGTGCTGGGATTACTGTGATCCATGCCTGGCTGGTAGTTGCTTTTCCTTATATCATTCTGTGTTCTTGGATTTGTTTGTTTTCCCCCACCGAAGCAGCACATCTCCCATGCCATCTCCTCAAATAAAATCGAAGTAGCCTTTAGCAAGCCCTGCTTCAGAAGGTGGCAGGACCCCTCCCCACCCCAAGGAGGTGACACAAGACCAAGTTTTCTCATCTCTCAGTAATTTGTTTCTTTCATAAGACTGCTGAGAAAGCTTTAATTTCCTCTGTGGTGAGGTTGGAAAACCCATGGTAGACTGCCAGGCGGTGATGTGCTGGGAAATGTCTACGTTAGAATAAAGGATGTGAACCCTCCTGGCCTCCTGGCTGGGCCCGCCACCGCAGGATTTGAGGAAGCTAGTACAAACCTGAGATGCCAGCAGGCCACAAATCTTCTGCAGACATACATCCTAGTGAGAAACGACTCCAGAGACTGCAAGCTTGTATGAAAAAAATATGTATTACCTCCAAAAACTACAAAATTAAAAAAAAACAAACAATAAGTGCAAGTATGAAAAAGCATTCTGGCATCACCCTTTGCCAACCTCCAGACATCATACAAAGCTTAAAAAACTATGTGACTGTCAACAGATCCACCTGGAAAGCTGACAGAGGTAGGTGTTCAGAGGGCCAAGGGATGGATTATGTATGTGCTAAGGTCTCTTTCCTATGGGATTTCATTAGGTCTGTTAAACAAAGGCTTCTGAATTGCTTCAGAGCAATTGCTTTAATCTACTAGGAACCTTCGAACTAGGACCCATTTTGGTTGGGTATAGGAGAAATGTGTGAGAAACCAGCTCTTGAGTGAGAGGAGTTCCTATACCTTCCCTGGGTGCAGCAGCTCTGCCTTAGTCTTTAGTACTGCCCTTTCTAATGCTCCATGGTGACTATTTAGTTCAGTCCCTTTATTTCAAAAATGAAGACACTGAAGCTCAGGGAGGCTCATCAAAAATGCCCAGGGGCTGGGGCTGGGGGTGGGGGTGGGGGCTGGAGCTCAGCTGGCCGACCTCTTGCCTAATATGCACGACCCTGAGTTTGAGCTTGTGGTGGTGCCCTCCTGTAATCCTAGCACTGGAAAGGAGGAGGCAGGAGGCTCAGAAGTTCAAGGTCATGTTATTTGAGAACCCCCCCTCAAAAAAAAACACCCACACAACTCCTCAGTTATCTCTCAGCCTTTGAGAGGGAACTGACACTGACTCTAACCATCCCAACAGCTATCAAAATACCTGAAAGCAAATCCTGAATCCATCACTCTAGAGTCCAGCCTTGGAAGACAAAAGAAAAATGAGGAGGAACCCAATAGAGGGATGCTTTTGGAAACCTTGTCAAGAAATTGCAATGAGCTCTCATATGAACATTTGAAATTTGCCCTGTTCTGATTTTTTTTTCTGGTTCCTTGTCTACAACGTGTAATGCGAATAACTCTTGCCTTTACTTCTCCTTCACGTCTCCTATTCACAAGTCAAGGCCTTTCTTTTCCCCCTAGAGATGAGAGTTATGCAATTTGGGAGTCTTTTAGAGAGAACCACTGAAGGGGTATTCCAGTTGCCTCACCCTGTGTCCCTGTTCAGCATGGAAGAAGCCAGAGTCTGCATCCAGATTCCCTATTGGCAATTTGGGTAACCTCTTCAGAGGATGGTGTGATAAGAATAGGAGTTAGAAACTGGCTAGGCAGTTAGGGTAAAAAGACCCCAAAGAAAAGTAGCCTCTTAGCAACATACTCTGTTCCAAAGGCCAAAAACGTCAAAAATATTTGGGAGCTCTTATCTAATCCTTAAAAGTTTTAGGGTTACCTCTTCAGAGGGGGGATATTAAGAGTAGCCAAAAGCCCTATTAAAAAATAATAAAGAAGAAAGAGTACATGAAGTTATCTGAAAAAAGTGATGGGGAGATATGGGAGGAGTTGGAGGGGAGGGAGTGGGCATGGATTTCATCAAAACACTTTATTTGCATGTATGAAATTCTCAATAAATTATTTATTTTTAAAAAAACAAACCAAGATTACCTGTTGGAATCAGATGTCTGACTTCTAGTCACAGCTTGTACATGACATTTGAGAACATTCCTCTTTTTTTTTTTTCAGACTCACAGCAACTGTAATCCCATGCAGGGAATCTAAAATCTATACATGGAGCACTTTAAAAATTGTGAGATAGAAACTCTAAAACTTCTGTGTTCTATTTCTTCTGAGGAGCTTGAAGCACTTAGGCGTTTTTTTTTTTTTTTTCAATAAAAAAATTCTTAACATATGAAAAAGATTTAATCTACCCCTCCTCACCACACAATGTTTCCTTCCTGAGTCACCTGTCTGACCCTAGAATTATTAATGTGGGTCTTTCTCACTTAGACTGGGGAGGGCTGGCTGAGGGCTTCTCAGAGTGGAAGACACAGAACATGACATTCTGAGAAGGGCCCAGAAACCAGTGACTGAACTTATGACTTTCTTTGTGCATCCTGCTTCCTCACCACCCTCTCCTCCTCTCCCGCCTGCTCTTTCACTCATTTCTTGAGCCTCTGGACTCAGTATTTGCCTGCTAACCACTGCTCACAGAGTTTTTCTTTCTTTTTCTCTACCCCAATCGACCTGGCTCAGTTTCATTATTTTCTAGAAACACCACAGGATCAGGAGGCCAAGGTCACCTCTGAAAACTACATTGAACTCTGCTCCTGGGAAACGTGACATAATCCACATTAGTGGAAACGGGGCAGGCGGTGTATCACTTTGAACTTGCAAACAACACACGAACAATACTGTGTTTCCTGTACTGGGAATCCGCATAGAGGAGGGCATCAGGAGAAACCGAGTGGGCCCTATATTTCCCTGTTCCCTCCCTCAGACTTATGCAGACCACAGAGCAGCAAGTCAGGGTACAAAGAGGACCCTGTAGGTTCTCAGCTCCAGTCAATGAACTGTTTTTGGAGTCATCTCATTATATAACCATCCCCTACATCAGCATCAGTATCAGAACCTGAAGAGTCAGTTTTATCAGATGACTCCTCTTCAGTCCACAGGCACTGGGAAGAGGAGCTGTGGTGGGGTGGCTGTGTCCTTTCCCCACTGGCCATTAGAAGGCTTGACTCTATCCTGTGGGGATCCTCTTCTAGGTCGATGGTATCTTCTGCAAGAGGCAACACCTCAGAGGTTTCCTGAGAGTCTTCTTCAGAGTCATCGTCGAGAACTCTCAGAAACACAGAGTTTAAATTCACATTGAAGATAACTTTGTCCCCAGGCTCATCTGTAGAGCTGCTGTTGTGTCTGGGATAGGAGTCCTGGAGCACACGCTCTCTCCTCTCACGGGGGCTTCTGGAACTTTCTGGCTGCCAGGGGTCAGGCCTTGCCTCCCTGGGGGGCTCCAGCTCAGCCCCAGGTTCATCAGACTCTTCAACAGCTGAGTCTTCACACTGGGATTCCTGGGAGCTGGCTGAGGGGTCAGGGGCTTGGCTCAGATGCTTGCCCATCAGCCCATGCGTGGTATAACCAGTGGCACTTGCTTTGGGCACTTCTTCTTCTTCTTCTTCACTGTCACTTTCATCTCCATAACTATAATTCCACAGCTTCTTCTTTTTGTTGGTGTGAATGATCTCCAGCATGTCTACTGCTTCTGATGGTGGTGGCTCAGCAAACATGGAGGCTAAAAAGTTATGGAAATTCTGGGGAGGAGGGAGAAGTGGAGGCAGGGTGGGAGGGAGGGGGAGAAAGTAAGTCTATCACTTGTGTTGACTCTATTTTTTCACATAATAAAACTTAGTAGTCACCTGCAATGATGTGGATGGTGGATGGTGACAATTGTGTAGCACCTGCTAGTGGCCAGATACTTAGTAGTTCCTGATTCAGTTCGCCTTCCAAACCCAAGGATGTGCAAATCCCTTACAGAAAATGTCACATCATTTACATATCACCCATGCACATCCTCATATATACTTTTAACAACCTCTAGATTGCTTATGATACTCGATACAATACAAATGCTGTGTAAGTGGTATACTCTATTGCTTAGGGAACGACAAGAAAAAGTCAGTACAGATACATTTCATTTTCCTGAATATTCTGATCTAACACTGGTTGAAGCCTGTGGCTGTGGAAGACCAATTGCCAGTCTCTTGTAAGTTTCTTTGCTTTCTGCTCTCATGGTGTTCTTTGAAGCAGGCTTATTTTACTTTCTTTTGAGCTCTGGACCTTTTGTGTGCTAAGCACACCCATAATGCCACTAGGCTACACAGGGTACCCTAGGCCTACTATGATTATCCCTATTTTATAGATGAGAATGTGAGATAGCGAGGTTTAAAAACTCCTCTAGGCATTTAACTGGAACTGGTTTTTGTGTGGTATGAAGTAGGAGGGATGCAATATAATTTGTCTAGTGTAGATAATACTATCACCAGCCCATCTTTCCCCCACTAATTTGCACCAGCCACTGTTTTGAGTCATGTTTCCATACATGTGGTATGTTTCTGGGCTTCTCATTTGACAGGCTTTTGTTACTTTTTTAAAGTAAGATTTGGTCATTTTCTCCACGATTTGTCTTCATCATTTGCTCTACACATTTTATTTTGATCTATTAATTTATTTTTATGTGTATGAGTGTTTTGCCTGCTTGTATGTAAGTGCTCCCATATTGTGCAATGCCCATAGAGGCCAGAAGAGGACGTCAGATCCCCAGGAACTGGAGTTACAGATGTTTGTTAGCCACCATGTGGGTGCTGGGAGCCAAACCCGGGTCCTCTGCAAGAACAGTCAGTGCTCTTAACACCTGAGTCACCTCTCTAGCCCCTAATCTTTAATTAATTAATTTTTTTGAGATAGGGTCTCCTTGTAGCCCCAGCTGGCCTGGAACTTGTGATGTAGACCAGGTTGGCCTTGCTCTCATAGAGATCTCCCTTCATCTCCCTCCCAAGTGCTGGGATTAAAATTGTGTGCCACCATGTTTTCTTGATCTGGGAATATGTTACATGGGCATAAGTTACATGGGTGTTCAGTCTGGGAAAAGAGGCTGAACTTCACACCTGTGATTTGTGTACTTTATTTCTTGAATGTTGAATGTTATTTTCTAAATAGACACTGCTGATTTAAGTGTGCAGTAACTTTGCCAAACAATTGGTTCTCTGTTTCTTCTCTTTCTTTCTTTCTTTCTTTCTTTCTTTCTTTCTTTCTTTCTTTCTTTCTTTCTTTCTTTCTTTTTGAGAAAGGGTCTTACTATGTAGCTCTGACTGTCCTCAAATTTTCTGTATAGGTCAATTATTAATATCAATAATTCAGGTGCAGAGAGTAATGTGAATTTTTCAAACAAGAGCATCATTTATGAATTACCATTGCCTCTTATTCTAACAAGCGCCCGGGGGCACGGTGTTTTTGTTGGCTTTGTTCTACATCTCCAACACTTAGAATATGTTGTCACATAGTAGACAGTCAGTAAATATTTGTCAGATTCAAACCAGAAACCATTTAACAAGACTGAGATCGATCCCCAGAACCATAAAAAAAAAAAAAAATCTATTCTTGATTAAACATGCATATACAGACACAGTAGGCCTAGAGTGCTCTCTTTTCTTATTCCTGGAGTTTTTGCTGAATTAGACAGCTCTCATTTTTAATAGTGAAATAGTAGACAGACACAAGATGACAATATGATAAAACCAGTTCAATTCTATCAGCTGTGGAGGGATAGTTAATTACATGGCTGTTGAAAAAAACAGAATAAGGTAAATGAACTATCATACAAAAATTAAGATATTTCTACTTGAAATATTACAAGAGTAATATAAAAGGGAAGCAAAGGGTTAGGAAAAATGAGAAATGGTAGGCAAAGGCAGTTGAGTTCAGACACATGAAATTTAGAAAGATGTGGGATCAACGTTGAGACTCTCGAAAGGCTCTAAGTTGTAATAGAAACATGGAAACGAGACAAGCAAATGGCAAGCTTTGTGACTAATGAAAGGAACAAATGGAAGAGCCTGTGAAGAGCCGTCACACACATAACAGTGAACAGAAGTAGTAAAAACATTCATCAGTGTCAGCAGCACTTTGGAAGGAAGCACACATCATCACTAGCATGTTAAATGAGCTCTTATGATATTTTATATGACGAAGCTACTGTGTGTGTACATAGTCCATTGAAGTAATCCAAAATAAAAAGATAATCTACATAAAAACTTTACTGTACTGTTCCTAATGGCCAAAGAAAGAGAAAGGAATACAAAATCAAATGACCTACAGATGGGAAATGGTTCTTTAAAAAATAACTTTGATAATAACAGAATTCTATGTAATCATTAGAAATAATAGGTAATGATTAGAAATAAAGGCTAGGGAGATGGGCTGGCTAAGCAAACTTGAAGACCAGAATTATTTTTTTTTAAATTATTTATTATTTTTATTTTAAATGTATGAGTGTATTGCCTGCATATGTGTAAGTGCACCTGTGTCGTGCAATACCCAAAGTCAGAAGAAGGTGTTGGATTCCCCCAGAACTGGAGTTACGGACGGTTGTTAGCTGCCATGTGCGTGCTGGGTATTGAACCCAGATCTTCTAAAAGAGCAGCTAGTGCTCTTATCCACTGAGCCATCTCTCCAGCCCTGAAGACCTGAATTCTGATCCCTAGCACTGAAGTAAAAAAAAAACCAAACCTGGTTCAGCCATGTAAGTCTGTAGTCCCAGTATGAGAGGGGACAGAGCAGAGACAGGTGGATCCCTAAAGCTCGCTGGCTGGGCAGCCTAGCTGAATTGATGACCTCCAGGTTCAGTAAGAGACCCTCTCTCAAAAAATAAACTGGAGAAGGCCTGTGAGATGGCCAAGCCTGGCTACCTGAGTTCAATCCCTGGGAGCCACATGGTGGAAGGAGAAAGCTGACTCTCTCGAGTTATCCTCTGACCTTCAGAGGGATGCTGTGATACATGTCCCTCCCTCAAATAAACAAATAGATGTAATAAAACATTAAAAAAAATAAGGTGGAGTGAGGAAGATAGCTAAAGTCCACCCATGGCCTCTACATATGAACAAGTACCTACCCTACTCTACACACACACACACACACACCACACACACAATAGGTGCACAGCCTAGAAGGAAAATATGTGTCCAGTTATACTTGAAATGCACAGGTATGAAAAAGAACCCAGAGTGATGGAACTCAGTGATGTTTTTGGAATATGAGATTCTCACATGCAAAAATATTTCAGTGTATAAAAAAATTTAAGTTAAAACACAAAAATATAGAAAAAAATTAAACTACATACCAACACTTTGGGGAAATTGTTTTTTAAGCATATATAGCCAGTCCGTCTCAGCATTAGGATGCTACTTATGAAGAACAGCACTATCCACCCAGTAATAATAATTCCTATTTTGGCAGATATTGATAGTCCTGTTGATGAAAAGATTAGTGACTTTATTTCAAAAGAAATTCAACAAATGATCACAGATGGGAATATATTCACATTGATCTTGTGTCTGAAGTTGATACCATGGAAAAGAAAGAAGTTTTATATTGCTAAATACCAAAGAATAGAAAGTAACCCAAGTGTGTGCATTTTAAACAATAAAGTATACATAGGTTTGGTGAAGTAAAAAAAAATCGGTTTCCGTTCTGTAGTTGTATTAGAATACAATGTGCAAAATTAAACAGAACCAGAAACCCAGTTTCTCGTCGCACTAGCCACATCTCAAATGCCCACAGGCACGTGGGGCAGGTGGAAGGCATGGAGGAAGACAGCTGGCCTGCAAAACCAGCTTGGCCATTCTGAGGCTGGATGTTGGCCACAGCAGGATCCCAAACCAGGCCTCCGTGGCACTCGCCTGGCCTTATTAAGAGCTCTTCTTTGTTTCCTGTCCAGTTTCCCTTTGGAAAATTTCTCCTTCCAAGGTGAAAGCGGCTTTTCCCGTAAATATAAAGGGGCTGAGAAGTGAGTAGTTGCATACAAAGCACTCTCAAATTTCTGAAATCGATCTGCATTAGTATTAACCTGTACTCAAAGTTTCAGGGGAAACCAGAAAGACATAGGGCAGAAACAAAACAAAACAAAACACAAATGGACTCATACATCAAGTCGTTTAAAACACTAAGGAATGAATGTAGAAACCTAGCAAAGACTCTGGCATTGGTGGGTAGAACAGGACTTTCAAACCCGACCTCATGCCTGTGAAGAGTGAATGAAAGATCCTCTCATCAGTGACAGTTCTGGAATCGGGTCTAGCCACAGAGGCACACGTTTCAGACACAAATCTTTACATATTTCCTGAGAAACTCAAATGACTTCAGGGGTGAAACATTGGCATGATACTAAGATTCTGACTCATGAACCCACCCAACTTTCTAAAGAACAGAATGAAAGAGAATGTGCAACAGATTTAACAGAACAGCCTGTGAGTAAGTTATGCAAATTGCAATCAACATGCTAGAGCAAATGCTTCTCAAATTGGAGCACTGTCATCAGTCTCAGGGTTCTGTATGAAAACTTAAATTTTTTTGTTTGGCTTAAGTTTAATGATAATTTAAAACACAGAAGTCTCTCTTAAGGTCATGGTAGATCACTGCACGCATGCTACTTAAAAATATACCTGTTTGAAAGAGTAGGAGCATATTCCCACTCCTACTCAGTTGTTAATCATCTTCATAAAAGAAGGGTCAGGGGGCTGCAGAGGTGGCTCAGCGGTTAAGAACACTGTTCTTGCAGAAGACCTGGGTTTGAATCCCAGCACCCACATGGCAACTAAAAACTGTCCATAACTCCAGTTCCAGGGGATTTGACAACCTCTTCTGTCCTCTGCGGGTATTGCATGACACAGGTGCACTTACCTACATGCAGGCATAACACTCATACACATAAAAATAATAAAATATTGAAAAAAAGAAAGAGTCAGATCAACTTGTTTTGGGAAGGGGAGACTACCTTCAGATTTTGGCCTCAGATGAACCTTGTCTTTCTTTTGTAACCCAAGTGACTTCACAAACAGATGACTGAACAGAATGGCAAAGACAGTGGTTTCTACTCTACTATTATCTTTACTGGACAAAGGGAAAAAAAGTCTTGCCAGAAGACTGTTGATGACTAATGCTTCTTGGAATTCTTTGCCTGCCTGTCTCTCTGGATTGAGCATCACTTGGATTATTGCAGTGCCAGGCCAGGAATCACCTGGCTCCTCCATGGCCTACAGTAGTTCCTTTTATGTCTTGTTGGATTTACTCAGGTCCCACTGGGGTTCCCATCTCTTCTAATGGCTTCAAAAGTCCTAGATCACCTAGGGTCCTCCATTCTCTATGGCCTAAACTGTTTCTATTCCTCATTGGCCCACTTCTGTCCTGCATATCACACCAGGCCCATCCTGCCCACAGGGACCTTGCTTAGCACTTGCTGGATCCACCATATGGAACTCTCTCCCTTGGTATGTCTGCAAGACTCACTTGCTCTGCTCCTATGTTTCTTTTCCATTGCCTCTGTAACAGAGCCCTACAAAATGGCAAAACAGCACACCTTAGGTTATCTTATCATTCCAGAGGTCAGAAGTCCAAAATGAGTTCCACTGGGATAAAGATCAGGGTGTTGGCAGTGTGCCATCCCGTCTGGAGGCTCAGGGAAGAGCCATTTCCTTGCCTTTCTCTGCTTCTAGAGACACTTTCTGATGTCTCAGAGTCAGTGGCAGAGTATCTCCCAGTTTCTCAGTGTTTGACCTCTGCTGCCAGTCTCTGTCTGTCTGTCTGTCTGTCTGTCTCTCTCCCCTCTGTCTCATTTCCTTTGTAAGAACCTCTGTGCTTACAGTAGGCCCACCTGGGTGGCCTGGGTTATCTCTCCATCTTGATCCTGAATTTACTAGCAACCACCAAGGCTCTTTAGCCACAAAGACAGCACTTTGACATACACAGGATAAAGACACATCTCTGACTGGCTGTTATTCTGCCCACCACTCCTCACTTGGGTCCTTACTCAGAAAGAACCTCTTGACCACCTCTGGTGGATGCTGTACATGTCCTACTCACAACATCCTTTTATCCATAGGTGAGCAAAGGGTACGGCTATGCATATTAAATAACACGTCCTAGCTGTTCCTTCTCTAAGGACTTGACCTTGGCCAGGGCAGAGATGGCATGCCACCTAGCATTGGTAACTTCCCCAGTGAATCCCCAGGGCTCAGGTTGCAGCACAGGTTGGCTGAGGCCACTCACTTGCTTTCTTTCTCTTCCCTCACCCTTACTTCCTTCCTCATTCCTCTTCTTCTGAGGTCCACCCCCCACATCAACAACAACAACAACAACAACAACAACAACAACAAAATCACAGTTTGAATCTAGGCTAGCCTGGTCTGCATAGTGAGTCCCAGGCTAGTTGGGGCTATAGGGAGACCCTGTCTCAAAAAACAAAACACAAAACAACAGCAGCAGTAACAGCAACAAAATCACCATTGAACAGGAATTATGGGGAACATGCATCAAGGCAGAGCCCTGTTTAAAACAGTGATCCAGGGCTGGAGAGATGGCTCTGTGGTTAAGAGCACTGTCTGCTCTTGCAGAGGACTCGGGTTCAGTTCCTAGCACCAATGTGGTGGGAACACCTGCAGGCTAACCACCACCTGCAACTCTATTCAAGGGGATTCGATACCCTCTTCTGGCCTCTGAAGGTATTGTATGACACAGTTGCACTTAAATACATGCAAGCAAAACACTCATACACATAAAATAAAAATTAAAAAATAAATGCAAACAATGATGTGTCTACAACTAAACAATGATGGGATGAACTCACAGCATGCTACTGCAGGACCATGTCTTAGCAGGTGGAGTAGAAAAAGGTCAGGGAGAAAATGTTTTCTCCGAGTAGGTCAACTTCCGAAGAAAGGCCAGCTACTTGGGTAGCAACTCTGGGTCTCAGGAAACCTTCTCCTGTCATTTCATTAATTTGAATTAAATACATTTTTAAAAATTACATTTATTTATTATTTGTGTGTGTGTGTGTGTGTGTGTGTGTGTGTGTATGCTAGTGTGTATATGGTTAGAAAACAACCTGTGAGAGTTGGTTCTCTCCTTCCACTGTGTGGATCCCAAGGATCGAACTCAGGGCAGCAGGCTTGGCAGCAAGTGCCTTTATCTACTGAGTCATCTTGTTGGCTCTAAATTGTAATTATTGATTTATTTTTATTTATGTGTATGTGTGTGCCTGTGTGAGTTATGTGTACCACGTGCAGGTGCCATGGAAGCCAGAGGGCATCAGATCCCCTGGAGCTGGAGTTATGGTGGTTGTGAACTTCCTGATGTGGGTGCTGGGAACTGAACCTGGGTTCTCTGCAAGAGCAGTGGAGTGATCTTCACCTCTGAGTCACCTCTCTGGTACCCTAACTTGAATATTTATTTCATGTAGGAGTTTTATTTATATAAAGATCATGATGTTTTATGTATATGTACATATACATATATTCAAACACACACATCATGCATACACATGCACAGGCACGAATGCACATCCTTTCCCCTGGTTCCCGGCATGGAGCTTCAAATCTCACAGACTCTCCTGTGTGGAAGCAATATCTGCTATTTTTAACAAGCCTCTTGGGGGTTGCTATGGTTGGAATGTCTCCTTCACAGTTAATTGCCACTGCAATGGTTTTTGGAGGTGGGGTGTTGAAGAAAGGTTTGTATCATGAAGCTCTGCTTTCATGAATGGAGTGATGCTGTTATGGGGATGGGTGAAATATTGTGTATATGGCTTTGTCATAAACAAGCATCCCCGCCCATGACATGTGATGTCTTCTACCATGCTACGATGCAGCAAAGAGGACTTTCCAGAACTTTCTAGCCTTCAACTCTGGGAGAAATAAATATCTCTTCTTTATAATGTATCCAGTCTCAGGTATTCTATTACAGCAGTGGCTATTCTATTACAGCAGTGGACAGCAACCATATCTGAGTTTACACCAATGAAGTAACCTCTGGGAAGCTGCTAGACAGGTTCAGAATGAGGGTTGATTTATAGAAAAACTAATTATGTGATCAGGGAGTTGGAACTTCCTTCTAGGGCCACCTCCTGACCTCAGGAGAGAGTGATGAGCTGGAGACTGAGTCTAATCCTGTGGCCAATGAGTCAGTCACAGCTACATGAGGAAAACTCAAGATCCCCAGACATATCCCTTGATGTTCTTCTGGGTTAGGGGACATGCCAAGCCTGGGAGGGTGATGCAGCCAGACTCCAGGAGGAGCTCTTCATGTGTATATAACCTTTGTACTGAATGGTGATCCTAAGACTGACACTTCCCCAAGTTCTGTGAGTCACTTTAGCAAATCACTGAACCCGAGAGGAACTTGTGGGAATTCTTGAATTTGTGGCCAAGTTAGACAGGAGTTCATGTAGGCTGAAGACCTTAGACTGTGGTTGCCATGTGAAGTGGGGGCCATCTTGTGAAAACAAGACCCCTTATCTTGTGGGGTCTGCATTAACCTTGGGTAATGAGTGTCATCAATGAATTACTTGCTGGATATCTACTTGGAATTAAGAAAAGTGGTGTTAGAATATAAATATGTTGGTTTGTTTGGAGCTTATATTAATAGTGTTATAAGATATATAAATATACGGTTTTAGCTTTGTCCCTATTTAACTGATACTGTCAGAACAACTTAAGGTAAAGGTTAGAGAGACTTTAAACTCAGTCTATGCATCTTTCAGCTTTGAGATACATTAGTCAATGGAATCACACTGCTCATGGGGAGTGTGGGCACTGTGCAGTACAGCTCATTGAATTCACAAACAATTGCATCATTTGTGATCACTGTAACAGAATGCCCCACAGAAGCAACTTAAGGGACTAAGGGTCTATTTTGGCTCATGGTTTCAGAGAGTTTCAGTCCATCATGATAGGGAAGGTATGGGGAGGCAGCTCAGTTCTGGGATGGCAGGGGTGTGTGGTGGAGGCTGTTCACATCAGCATTAGCATGGTGGAAAGGAAGCCACATGTGGGCAAACAGGGACCAGGGGCTGGGTATGACCTTCATAGGCCTACACCAGTGACCAGCTAGGTCCCACCTCCTAGAGTTTCCAGAAAGACCCAAAATAGCACCATCTGTTGGCCAAACATTCACATCCTGAGCCTGTGGAGGAAATCTTCCAGATTTGAACTATCACATCAAGTCCATTGCCCTATAAATCCGATCTTAATTTAAGACAATTTTGTTGGGGTTTAGAAATCTAGAAAGACTTCTTTGAGATTTTCAAAGATTTTTTCCCTTTTGGTTGACTTTCAGAGAAAATACTCCACAGGGAAGGCTCCTAAACTCGGCTACTCTTTTTTACTCTTCTTTTTTTTGGTGTGTGTGTGTGTGTGTGTGTGTGTGTAGGGGCAGACAGGGTCTCACTATGTAACCCCGCTGGCTTGAAAGTCACTATGTAGCCCAGGATGGTCTCCCAAGGCTGATATTACAGGCGTCATTGTGTCCAGTGCTTCATTATTCTTGCCACATATTTTCGCAGATGGAGAAGAGTCAGGAATCACAGTGTAGCCTGTTCCAGGGTCTCTAATGGAAAGGTTTTCTGTCTTCACCCATTGTGTCTCCTATGTGTTGACCAGGTTCCTTTCGTCTACAGGCAGAGCCCATGCTCCTAGGACTCAAACCCAAGCTTCCATCCCTTACCTTCCCAGGCCTCTATATACCAAGACTTCAAGCAATTTTGCATCTTCCAGCACTGGGCACAAGCAATAGCCAAATGGCACAGCACTGAATTTAATCCCGATTCCCACTTCTGGAAGAGCCTGACTTTCTAAAGGCAGATACCTGATTGCCCTATGGTAGGACAAGATTAGAGACAGACCAGCAGACACAGCTCTGTGATGTGCCTTTATTGGAAGAAGTACATTTGATGCACTAGAACTTCAGATTCCTTTCTTTCAACAGGTTTTCCATCAAAATAAAAGCATGAATTTTAAAAACCTAACCATACCTGATTCCTGGTCAGGCTGAAGGAAGATGCATTTTATGGGAGATTTTATTATTTTTTCCACATCTAGAGGTTCAAAATAAACAGATACACAATAGTTGGTGTTTGGAATTAAGTTGTCCAGAATGTAGGTGAAATTTCCACTGAAGTCTCTATTTAGTTTGAGGTCATTCTATAAAAAGAAGAAAAAAAATCAGTTAAGACTTTGGTGAGAGGCAGGCCCTGATAGTTCCATCTTCAAATCTTAAAACAGGTTTACAAATATCACAGGCTTGACTAGTACAGGGTTTATAAGCCACTAGGGGCAAGCAAGCAAGTTATCATGAAACTACACACACACACACACACACACACACACACACACACACACACATTAAAATCATGACATCTAGCCTATCAGCTACATTTTACAGACAAAAAGAAAAAGTCCCAAAGAGGAATGATGTCATTTCTGCAAGATCATCATCTCTCCTTGACAACGTGTATCTAGTTTCCACTTCAGGAGAGCTTTTGTGCCTACTCCTCTGACTTTTGAAATGGTCCAGTGTTATGTCTGTTCTACAGATGAGAAAACTTCAGCGCCAAGCAGCCAGTGGCCTCTCTTAAAGCTAAAGAGTTTTTTTCTGACACTGAAGTCAGACTCTTGGGTGAAACATTCTGCTGCTACTTCCGCTGGAGTTTTGCTCTACTTCAGGATTGAAAAGACTGCATGAAGCTTCTTTCCTAAGTAACAACTTGTGTGTGTGTGTGTGTGTGTGTGTGCGTGTGTGCGTGTGTGTGTGTGTGCACATGTGTGGCTGTGTGTATACAGGTGTGTGAGCATGTCGAGGCCAGATGCCAACATTGGGTACATTTTGTTTTTTGAGACAGGGTCTCTCACTGGCTTGGAACTCACCAGGTACGCTAGGCCGGTGAGCCCCAGGGATCCACATGTCTCCACTTCCCCAGAACTGGGATTACAAGCACCATATCTGACTTTTTTTTAATGTGTATGAATGTATTGCCTGCATGTATGTGAGTGCACCCGTGTCGTGCAGTGCCACGGAGGTCAGAAGAGGGCTTCGGATTCTCCTGGAACTGGAGTTAAGGACGGTTCATAGCTGCCATGTGGGTGCTGGGAATCGAACCCGGGTCCTCTGCAAGAGCAGTCAGTGCTCTTAACCGCTGAGCCATCTCTCCAGCCCCATACCTGACTTTTTAATGTGGGTACTAGGGATGGATATCAGGTTCTCATGGATTAGTAAGCATTTTACTGATGGAGCCATTTCCTTAGCCTCTTCAATAATAACATTTTTTAAAAGCCTTGTTTTATAATTTCTCAAGTACATTCTTAGTAGTCATTTCATAGATCAGAATTTCTAGCAGTTCAAATAAGCTTATACATGGAAATACATAATGAAGAAGGGAAGGAGGATAGTTAGGGACACAGCATGGTAGGAAGGCTCTGACTCCTGGCAGAAGAGCACACTATGGCTGACAGCAGAACATTCAGGTTCCCCCGGGTCTTGAGCAGGCCTGTAATGCTACCTTCCTGTTTCACTGGGCAAAAGCTCCATCAAACAGTACTTCCCTGTGATTGCTCAGATGTGGTTGAGTGTATGCCTTAGAGGTTTCTGTGTCAAAATGGAATCCTTACTGAGAGGCACTAAAGTAGGTTGAAATCTAATGGGTGATGGTGTTTAGAGGTGGGGCCTTTGGGAGGTAATTTAGGATACTTTGATCACTGGGGTGGAGCCCCATATATAAACCCCGGTGGCTTTATAAAAAGAAAACCCCACCTGAAGAGACACACACATGCCCTCTATTCTTCCATGTTCACGTGAAGGGACTCAGCCAGCAAGAAGTCCATTACCAAATGTGACCTCTCAGATTTGATTCCAGAAGCATGAGTCAAAATGAACCTCCTTCTTTATAAAGTATATAACCATGGGCATTTCATTACAGTAATGGAAAATGGACTTAGACACTTCTTTCCACACCTGGACTATATACTCCACTCTCTGGCCAGGGGATGCAGTCCCTGTTCCCAGCCAAGGCCACCTTCCCCTCCACTCTTGAGAGTCCACTCACTCTCACTCTCTAGAATATGACTTTGACTGAAACATCCCATCTGCATATTTTAAAACATCCTTCCCTCGACCCTACCTTCCCCTCCCATTGCCTCTGCAGATCCCTCCTTTAGAGAAAGGCACCTGAGAATGAGCTCAGTAAAGAGTCTCCTTCCCGCCTTTCTTGAACACATCCATCCCAAACAGGCTTTTGCCCCCATGACAAACTAAAGCTTTTATTAGGGGACTACAGCACACACAAGAGACTGAGTCTCCCTAGGACATCCCTTAGCTAGGAGACATCACCTGCCCAAGGTCTCCTCTAGACTCTGTACAGACACTCACATTTAATAATCTTCTCACTGAGCTCCATCCATCATCTTCCCTATTTCAGTCAGGGGCAACTCCAAAGTGCTGAGGCCATAACTTTCTACCACACTGTGTCCAAACTACCTAAAATACTGCAGAGTATGCAAAAGTACTTGTAGAGCATGCAAAACTCATCACTTGTAGAGCATGCAAAACTCAGGTAGAACTGGAAGTTCATATGTCCCCACTACCAAGTGGTCCAAGCCACCTCCCACTTGTTGCCTTGGTAATAGCAATGCCCTCTTTTCCGTTTTTTTTTTTTTTTTTTTTTTTTTTTTTTATGAAAAAGGGTTTTACTACATAGCAGTGGCTGGCCTAGAACTCACTATGTAGACCAGGCTGGCCTCAATCTCAGAGATCCACCTGTCTCTGCCTCCCGAGTACTGGGACTAAAGGTGTGCAATATCACACCTAGCCTTTTTTATTTTCTTGATTTAATTTAAAGACAGATTTTCTTTAATGAAGATGTCCATTGTCAATACCTAGTATAAGCGATCATCTACAACACTGTAATTCATTGTTTGAACACAGAGACATGATTGAAATTTGACAATGGGGGCTGGAGAGATGGCTCAGAGGTTAAGAACACTGGCTGTTCTTGCAGGAGACCTGGGTTCGAATCCCAGCACCCACATGGCAGCTAACAACTGTCTGTAACTCCAGTCCCAAGGGATCCAACAGCCTCTTCTGACCTCTGTGGGCCTTGCACGACATGGGTGCACTTACCTACATGCAGGCAATACATGCATACACATAAAGTAAAAATAATAAATAAAATTTAAAAAAAAAGAAATTTGACAGTGATTGACAATTGGCCCAGTTCCTGAGCTACATGAACTTACTCTTCCCCTTGCTATTTGCGCTCCCTTTTCCTGGTGTGTCAATTACAATCCATGTAAATATTAAAGGGATAATGTTAATAGTCACGAAATTTATTACTATTAGGGGAGTAGCATCCTCATGCTGTCAACTGGTTTTCCAACTGCAGCCTTTGCCATCTTGGTCTATTGTAACCCACCATCCAAGATTCTCTACTGAGTCTGGGGTCTTGCAGGGGCTCCCATTGGACCCAGAGGACAGACTCACAAAGCCCTTCAAATCTGGCCTCATTCTCTCTAACCTCTCTTCCTCCTGTCCTCTCATTCACTCCTTTCTATCTGTTTCTGCTGCTGGTTCTTAACCTCCCAGGCTCACTCCGACCTCACAGTCCTTTTCTTGAAATGCTTGTACCCTGATACCATGTGAGCAGGCAAGAGTTTTATAATTGACAAAGGGCTCTTTCAAACAAAAGGTTCTGTCTCAGGAGGGCCTATCTTCAGATATTCTAGACTTCTAAGGGGTAGAGACAACAAGTGATTTATGATCCAGGTCTGTCTGATACCAGGAGCACTCTAAAGTTACTAACATTCAGTTGGGTCCTTGGGAATAATCATGAAAGGGCTGGAGAGGCAGGAACAGACGCTTCCCACATGTAGCTCAGTGAAACCACCCTGTCAAAGAGAGGTCACCCTGATTTGCTGAGATCTGGCTGTTCTCCCTGTCTACACCACACGTTTCTCTCCTGGGTGTATTTAATGTTGCGTGTGGCTTATTCTTTTAAAGAATACTTTGATAAATAGGTTTAATCGACGTATTTCGGCAATTAATGGAAAGTAGAGTGTTCTTAATGTCGGACTACGCAAAGCTCAGACATTTTAGTTAGAATTGTTCAACTATTTCTTTTTCTTTCCCCTCCTTCTTCCCTCTCTCCCTCTCTCCTTCCCTCCCTCCTTCCTTTTTTTGAGACAGGATCTAATATACCCCATGCCTGGATCTACGCAATTCTTGAACAGAGAGTCAAATGTATCCATTACCAACTCAGAACTGTTTTGATCTTAGTGCTAGGGACCACTTACCAACTTAACGATTTTGTCCCACTGCTTTTCGATGACAAGCGACGCATATTCCTGTATTTCCTTCCCATATATCTTGGGAGTGACAGATGGAAATTCCAGTGTTACATTAATGTGGTCTAAGAAGCCAACAATTTCAAATCTTGGTGGCTCAATATAAACTGTTTGTAAAACAAAGTAAAAAACAAACCTTAGTGTTAGTCCATGAAAATGTAAAGATAATGCCGCCTGTTGTCAGGCATAATCTCATTTCTTCCATTTTAATCTGTTTTTAATCCTAGCTGCAGAGTATTGTGTTTTTATTGGTGAAATATGGAGAATAAAAAAGTGAATTGATTCACAGCATTATTACAGCACATGGAAGACAGACTTTTGAGATGGAAGTCATCAGCTTTCCCAATTCTCAAACTGTATTCTAGATGGAAAAAAAATGACTTATTTTCATATTAAATACATAATCATACAAAACATAGGGAATTTTTCAGTGTAACCAACTTTTCCATGCTGTTTGTATATAAATATGCATATTTACATATGTTAACTAGAGATATAAGTATTTATATAGCATATATTTGCATGCACACACACACAAATGAAAAGGAAATCCTTTTAACCCACACTGTTTATTTATGGTATATAATTTCACTGAACTTTTATTTTTTAAATATTTTATTTATTATTTTTATTTTATGTGTATGAGTGTATTGCCTGCATGTATGTAAGTGTATCCATGTCGTGAAATGCCCATGGAGGTCTGAAGACAGGGTTGCATCCCCTGGAACAGAAGTTATGGATGGTTGTTAGCCATCATGTGGGAGCTGGGAACTGAGCCTGGGTCCTCTGCAAGAACAGCCAGTGCTCTTAACTGAGCTATCTCTCCAGCCCTGAACTACTTTAATTTTAAAACAGGGTTTCCCTACATAGCCCACGCTGGCCTTGAACGCATACTCCTCCTGCCTACGGTTCTTAAGAGCTGGGATTCAGGAGTATGTCACCATATCTGGTTCACTTAACTGAATTTTATAAACATATTAATACATATTTATCTACATCAAGGGCTAGAAAACCATGTACCACAGATTTGCCTTTTTCTTTTTTAATATATATTTTATTTATTATTTTTATTTTATGTGTATGTGTGTATTGCCTGCATGTAGGTAAGTGCACCCATGTCGAGCAGTGCCCATGGAGCTCAAAAGAGGCTGTCGGATCCCCTGGAAGTGGAGTTACAGACAGCTGTTAGCTGCCATGTGGGTGCTGGGATGCGAACCCCAGTCTTCTGCCAGTGCTCTTAACTGCTGAGCCATCTCTCCAGCCCCAGGTTTGACTTTTTCACAACCCACAATTTCAGGTCTTTAAAATATTTTATTTATTATTTTTACTTTATGTGTATGTGTGTATTGCCTGCACCTGTGTCATGCAATGCCTGAGGAGGACAGTTAAGAGGGTGTTGGACCCCCTGGAACTGGAGTTAGGGACAGTTGTTAGCTGCCATGTGGGTGCTGGGATTCAAACCCGGGTCTTCTGCAAGAACAGTCAGTGTTCTTAACTGCTGAGCCATCTCTCCAGCCCCAATTTCATGTTTTTTTTTTTTTTAAATTTTTTAAGAACTGCAAAAGAAAATATGAAGACTATATGACAGAGAGTGTATTGGCCATGGCATCTACAGTGTTTCTTCTTTGACCCTTTATAGAACGTCCACTGACCCCCATATAGTGAATTCCAATCCTAATAGTCCTGACCCATAGTTTAGCTAACTCACTACTTTGAATGAAGAGATTATCTCTAATGTATCTGAATAGAATCAATGTGTTCTTGAAGCTAAAGCTTTGCATTTGTTCTTAGTCATTTCTTTTCTTTGTTAGATTTATTTTTATTTTAAATGGTTTCTGTGTGTGTGTGTGGGCGGGGGGATAGGTGCATGTGAGCACAGGTGCCTGCAGAGGGCAGAGGTATGGGATTCCTCTGAAGCTGGAGTTACAGGCAGTTGTGAGTTATCTGATTCAGGTGCTAGGAACCAAACTCATGTACTCTGGAAGAACAGCAAAGGCTCTTAAGTGCTGAGTCATCTCTTCGGCCCCCTTAGTGATTTCTTTATAATGATTTATTAAGGAGGAATCCTGGATTAGGTGATCACATGTAAGAGGTTTTTCTTTTTTTAATTCTCTCCATTTTTAATTCAAATATATCTTCTGCTATGTTAAAGCTTTGGGGTCTTTTTTTACATTTATCTATTTTGTGTGTGTGTACATGCACATGTGTGTATATGTGTATAGGCACACATGCCATTCTCATGACCTCGTGTGGAGGGCAGAGGATAACTTGCAGGAAGCAGTTCTTTTCTTCTAGTGTGTGGCTTCTGGGGATTGGTGGCAAGCACCTTTAGCCACTGAACAATCTTGCTGGCCTATTTTAAGACTTTTGTTTTGGTTTGAGACAGGGTTTCCCTATAGCCCCAGTTGGCCTGGAACTTGCTACATAGACCAGGCTGTCCTGAATCTCATAGAGATCCCCCTGCCTTTGTATCCCCAGTGCTGGGATTAAAGGCATGTGCTACCACACCTGGCTTTTTTATTCTAAGGTTTTAAAAAAAACTTTATTTTGATTTTATGTGTATGTGTGTATTGCCTGCATGTATGTAAAAGCACCCATGTCGTGCAATGCCCATGGAGCTCAGAAGAGGGTGTCAGGTCCCCTGGAACTGGAGTTAAGGACAGTTGTTAGCTGCCATGTGGGTGCTGGGATTTGAACCCGGGTCTTCTGCAAGAACAACCAGTGTGTTCTTAACTACTGAGCCTCGCTTTTTATATATATATATACATGCTGCTGAGTAGTGTCAGAAGGACTGAGCCAAGCATGCTGTCTGTAATTTTTCTAATTCTGGGGTTTTTGTCTTGTTCTTTTTTTTTTTTTGTTTTTGAGACAGGGTCTTCGTGAGTAGCCCTGGCTGACTCCCTGCTCTCTATGTAGCTCAGGTTGACCTCAACTTTGTAGTAAACCTCCTGCCTCAGTCTCATGGTGCTGGGATTAGAGGTGTGTACCAATCATATTCAGTCATCTTAGGTTTTAGAACATTTTTGCATATTTATCATTTGGATCATGAAAAATACTTATTACTTTAATAAACATTCTTCAGCAACCCACATACTATGATCTATAAGTTGTACTTTTCTTCCATTTCTCTGAGTGCACATACAGATGTCAGCGCTGATCCAAGGGCCTGCATACCACTGCATTGACCTCAGAAGTCTGACTTGTGCTATCATGGAGTTCAGCATCAGTATCACTTTGTAAACATGTACATGCACGTGTGTGCCCAGTCAGTCTGTAACATCATACTGAAGATGAACTGTTTCCTTGGAAACCAGTTGTTAATTTGGAAAGTGAAAAAGTGAGGGAGCTGGAGCCGGCACTAAGTGTCAGGGAGCAATCTTCAGACACAGGGAAAGAGAAAGGAGTTACCCTACTCCTGAGCTCCATTCTTCTGCGGGCCTTAGTGGCTGCGCACCTGAGTGTTCATATATAGAGCTAGCTATTAGGTTACAGTAGTTAGGAAAACACTGACCTAAAGAGATGTGATGGTTTAGAAAGCCACCCAAACTCCACTCCCCACTTCCTGTTAGGCTATAAAACGAACAGAAAAATTGCACCTGTCACTGCCTGAGTTCCGGCCTTACACAGCACTGAGCAGTCATCTGAGAAGCACTGTTATGTACTTTTTGGATCAGAAAGATGACGATCTGAGCAGCCATGTAACTACACAGGGCAGGGCCAGGAGTCAGCCTAGGTCTGAATCCAAACCCTTTTGCAGACCTTCCTCTGTCATAGCTAAACACTGATGAGGTGAGACACAGAGACCCACTCACAGTCTGAGGCCCAGAAGCTGTTCATACAACGGCCCACCATGGAGTTCCCTTTGTATAGCTCCACTATGGGTATGTAGTGGTCATCCATGATTTCCCATACATCTGTCAGGTCACATGATGGTTTCGTGATATTTGTGCAGTTCCCAACAATCTTTGGATCTTCTGGTTTGCTTTGGAAAGGGCAGAAATAGAAACAGGAAAACTGTAGCATGTACGTTATGAGAATCCGTATCCTGGACCGTACTCCTCATTTCCCTCAGGGCTTTGCCCAAATATTACTGTATCAGATCATCTTCCTTAATTACCTTATTTTTAAACTGAACAGGCCATAGTCTCTCTACCCCTACGTTCTCAAACTCTTTTGGATTTTTTTCTTCCTAGGGTTTACCTCTAACTGCTACATTATACTTTTATATGTTTAATGATGTTCCCACCTTCTTTTGGAATATCTGTGCCTAGAAGGTAGGGTCTTTGCTTCCTGGACAGGATTTCCTAGAGTGCAGTAGTGCTCAGTAAGAATCTATTACATGAATGAGCGAATGAATGAACGAAACTTAGGCTTTCTTGGTTTAGGCCTCCAGACCTCCCTCTCACTCTAGGATAATTATGATTGCCTTCCCTGAGACAACTTTTCTCCATGGCCGAAGACCACACAATCCTAAGTCAGCACTGTGATAGTTTAGGGACATGGACATTTGATCTACCAAGCTTGGTGAAGAAAGTGTCATAGTTGGGATTCCATTGTTAACACAACACACCTGGGAAGAGGGAACCTTAACTGGGGAATTTCTACCATAGGATTGGCCTACAGCCATGTCTATGAGGTGTTTTTTTTGATCATTGATTGATGTGGGAGGGCCCAGCCCACTGTGGATGGTGCCACCCCTGGGCAGGTGGTCCTGGGTTGTATAAGAAAGCAGACTGAGCACAGGTCAGAGGAGCAAGCCAGTAGGCCATTCTTCCATGGTCCATGCTTCAGTTCCTGCCTCCAGGTTCCTACCAAGTTCCTTCCTGACTTCATCAAAGATGGACTATCATTTGGAAGTGTAAGATGCAATAAACCCTTTCCTCACCAAGTTTGTTTTGGCCAGTGTTTTGTCACACAGCAGGAGAACGCAAACTAGGACATAGAGATAGTGTGCTGGTTGGTTTTAACTGTGAACTTGGCACAACCTAGAATCACTTGGGAAGAAAGCCTCCATCAGGGGTTATCTAGATCAGCTCGGCCTGTGGGTGTATCTGTGGGGACTATCTTCATTGTTAACTGAGGTAGGAAGACCCACCCTGAATGTGGGAGGCACCATTTCATGGGCTGGGTCCTGAACCGTGGAAGAGTTGAGAAAGCAAGCTCAGTGCTGAGCGTAAGCCAGCAAGCATCCATGTGTTTGTTCGCTTCTGCTCTTGACTATGGATGTGATGCTTTGAGTTTCTACCTGACGTCCCTTCAGTGATGGACTGTAACCTGGACTTGTAAGCCAAATAAACCCCTTTCTTCTCTAAGTTGCTTCTTGGTTAGGGTATTTATCACAGTAACAGAATTCAAACTAGAACAGGGAGGCTAACAGTATGTGTGATCATTCAATGCAGAGAAAAACTTTATGACTTCAGCAGACCAAAGAAAAACTCACAAGAGGCCTTTGTTCTCTCCTGGCTGGAGCCAAATAAATTATCAATAAAAGGACATTTCAGTGCTAGGGATGCAGCTCAGTGGTAGAGTGCTTGTGTACCATGCATAATTATGGTCGTGGGTTCAATCCCTAGCAACACACACACTACTCAAAAATTAACTAGAGGAAAAACATCTGAGACAACAGTGTATATTTCAGGGAGAAATCACATAATAGAAAGATGGCACTTTTAGCAAGAGAAAAATAAAATGTCAACCTACCTCATGATTGTGTACCATAATGTATAGTGAGTTGGCTGGATGGATCTGTTTTTTACTTCCCATGATAAAATTAGCTGGAAATTTTGTATTGTCAGGTTCATAGTGCAAGATTCATCTGAATACTCTAAAGAGAACAGAAAGGGTAAAAAAACACAATGAAATTTAGAATCCAGGACAGTGTTTTGGCTACTATTCTACTGTCCCTTAGGACCTCAGACCCACATGTCCAGTAGAGAAGCCCTCTGGAGAGCCCAGGGTCTAGAATACACAGGAAGTCTGGTGGACATGGGAAATGAACTAATTCAGTTAATTAATGACAACATATCATGGGGCAGGAAAGCTGGCAAACAGGAACTCAGCACCATGCAAACAGACTTCGACAGATGGGCTTCCCCAGCTATCATTAACTCTGAGTCAGTCATGAGACCAAAATAATGCAATTCGTTCTGACCACAGGGCATGCTTTCTCTCCACCCTAGTCTCTCAGCTGGTCTGTAAGTTGCTCAAACTCACGCAGACTTTCTTCCTCTAGATTCCCCACTGCATGTTTTGATTGGCTGGGTATGTCTTTCCTCATTGATTTATTAGCGAGAGAGAACATTAAGAGCTTTGATATTCTTTTAAGAGGTTTTAAAATGATCTTTACTATTCATTTCTTATAACAGTTTTATGAGACAAAGAATGAAACAGGAGTTCACTAATCTTAGCTCCTTTTACAAATGATTCCAAGAATCTGGGTTATTTTATATCCAAAATAGATCAATATTGAGCTGGTCAAAATTCAGAAGTACCCAATTATATTGTAAAAATAAAAATGGGGCAAAGACAATTAATTCCAATACATCTGGGTTTGGGATTCAAATTTTCTCTATTTTCCTATGTCTGGGTGGTGAGCCCAACACTTTGACCCTTACGTTCAATTTAGTCAAGCTAAGAAAATCTCTTACCACTGAAAGTAGGTGACGTACCAAACAGCACACTCACATACACTAGGAAGAAGAAAAACAGAAGTTACAGAAGCAACAGGGTTTTCCTTGGGCTCAGATTATAAACAGCACTCTAAATTTGAGATTCTTTGACATATGCGTATTAATGAACATTTCGTTGAGATGTTCTTGTGCTAACAAAAACAGTCTAAGAACAAAAATGTTCTTAGTTGACATTGGTACCACTGGCACATGGTCCAAGAGTTGATTTCTGAGTGAATTTAAAGTAAGATCTACTGGAATCTGACACTAATGGTAAGAGTCGGGTTGGTTGAGGGAGTGTCTGAGAAGCAGCTATCTACCTGAAAATATTTCTCAGAATATAAATAAGAATGCTGCTAATTAATACACTTTAAAGGTAAAGACATTTTGCCAAGGGTGGTAGAGGAAGAAAGAGTGTGTGTGATGGGAACTGGTGAGTAGGTACAGGTAAGTGAGGGCATGGGTTACTCGATATCACAATGACTTAGGCGGAGGAGGTGGGGGGGTCCTGGCATTTTTGGAAGGTGGAGACCATGAATGCTACACGTTTTCCATGGATGACTCCTCTAAGACAACCGTCCTATGTGTGGATTCCATATGGATAATCTATGGGACAGATAACACTGACACTGAAATAGAGTCAAGAGGAAGAAAAAGGGCGTCAGTAAATAAGGGAACCACACAAACCAAAGTTCAGAGGTGGATCTTCAATTTGGTGGACAAGGAAAGGGATAAAAGGTTTGTCTTCTTCCCAAATATAGGGGTGGGGTGATGCATTCCACCCTGGATTAGATTTGAGGGTATCAAGAGCAAACACTCTTTAAATTATATACAAGGATATTTCCTCAACATTATTGTACCTTATATTATTCAGGCTTAACTAAAAGTAACAATAGGCAGAAACGTATGCCAAAATCAAATCATAGATACAGGTTTGCTCTCTATAGTCCATGGGGTGCCTGATGTTGGACATGCTACTCTGGGTCCCCCAGCTAAGGACATCAATTCCCGCTGCTCCATGCCAGGGCCCTCTGTGATGATGGAAAGACAGGCTTGCTCCTCTAAGAGCTGTATTGAAAAGCAGTACTTACCCATGAGATACAAGTTAAGTAAAGTGATGGCGGAGACATTATAGTTTGAAAACATCCTGGTAGTATTTAAGTCCTTTCTTTACTTTCACATCTGAAAGAAATCAATATTGAGGAGATCAGAAGTACCCAATCAAATTGTAAAAATAAAAATGGGGCAAAGATAAGCCAATAAAAGACTAGTGAATTAGCCAAATTTGAGCTGGAGATGGACCTCAGTTGGTAGAATACTTGCCTAGCATGTATAAGGCCCTGGATTGATCCCTAGTCCTGCATAAATCCTGGTAGTACACATCTGTAACCTCAGCACTTGGGGAGGTGGAGGGTGGAGGGTGGAGGAAGGATCAGAACTTCAAAGTCACCGGCAGCTACATAGGGAGTCTGAGGTCAAGCTGTACTAGAGACCCTGTCGCAAAAAAAAATAAAAAAAATAAAAAAAAGCTCCTGGTTTGGTTTCATTCTTTCCTTTATTTTCTGCCCTTCTGCATTTTCTGGCTTCTGATATCAATCCCCTATCTAGTCAAGGAGAAATTTTAAGTTTAATGTTTGAACAGGTTATTGGCATTTGGTTACTTTCTTTTTAATTATTATTTTAAAAATATTTTATTTAGGCTTCTCTCCAGGTAAGTCCATTGCGAGCTCCGCACCTTGACTCCCCAAGCCATCTCCGCCACCCTTCTCTCCTCCGAGTTTGGGCCCTGCCCCATCCCTTGTCTTGGGGCCCCAGACACCTGGGGAACCAATACTGCTCCCTGATTCTTTTCATCCAGACCAACCTAGTACCTTCTCTGGGCCCTAGGAACACTGCTCCTGGACCTGGACCCACCCTCAACTCCCTCTGCTTCCCTGGGCCTGCACCATCTGCCAACCTTTTTCTGTGACACTGGGGCTGACCTTTCCTCTTCCTGATCCTTTGTATCCAGACCAACCCAGCTCCTCAGTGCAGTCCCCAGGAGGCCTTGGGGTCTCTTCCTGGCCATCTGCCTCTGCATCTCTGGGTAGCTCAGCAACCAGCTGCCCTAGACCAGCATCTTTTCTGCGCCCGGCTCCCAGACCAGTCCAACCCCCAAATTCCTGAGGCCAAAATCGTTCCTGGCAGACCTTAGGAGAAAGCCTGAAAACATCTGACCCTCACCTGAATTGGGCCTCTATGGGAATTCCTGAAGACAAAAGCAATCTGGCCACTCCAATATAAAATCAAAAGGGAGAACTGGAAACTGGAAGCT